ACTCACCAGCACTGATGATGTTCCCTAGTCGGGTAATGAAACGTCTGCAAGCAAACCACCAAGCTCAGAAAGTACCAAGGACTCCATACGCTAGTCTTCCACTTGCTTCGCCTCCAGATATGTGGAGTTTCACATCCAGGGTTATAAATCAGCATGGCTGTGGCTGAGGGTACTAGGACTTGAAATCCACACGTCTTGAAGGCTACCTGGGGAGTGGAAGCCCTAACAAGGATGTAAGAAAATGTAATTCACAATAAAACAAAAATCCGGCTACTCCCCCCAGAATTCTGGTGAAGGATAGAAAATCTTGGACCTCCATTCGTGCACAATACAGCCTTCCTTATTTTGTATCACCATTTTGCTTTACTAAAATTAATCCCCCCCCAAGAAAAACAAAAATAAGCCCTTTAGGAGGTATAAAAAATATTCAAATGTCCCCACTTACACACTAGTGCAAGACAGATGAATGGAGAATTTGAGAGAGTGACCAGCTGGAACAGATTGCTGCGTGAACAAACATAAACAGTGCAGGCAGGGATCCATAGTTAACTGAGATGGAGTTGGGTCCACTACATAACCAAGCATTACCTTGCTTTGGTACAAACAACCAAATACACCCTCCAGTTTCTGATGACATTCATCTCAAATTTCCAATACTACTGTATAGCAGGGTTTCTCAACCTTATCAACTTTAAGATGTGTGGACTTCAACTCCCAGAATTCCCTAGCCGTCATACTGACTGGGGAATTCTGGGAGTTGAGGTCCACAAATCTTAAAGTTGTCCAGGTTGAGAAACACTGTTTTAGAGTGTAATACATCTCCATTGGTTGAGCCTTTTAATACCTTCCAGCCATATTTACTATGTCTCTCCAGTTTGCAAAGACAGGCCAACCTATCAGCAGGTCGTGTTGCTGTGGTCAGGTGACGGCATCTGGTCTAGTCTAGACCGCCACCCTTGGGGGCGAGGGTCATTGGCCTTCCCTTCCCCAGTCATCAGTTGTTTGGCTCCTATCACGTCTGCTTCTTCCAGGCTCACCACTTAGCACTTCTACCATCACCCCTGCCTTGGGTGTAAGCAGGATGGAAGATTGGGGGTCTTCGCTGTAGCAAGAATCTCTTAGCAGCTTCCCGTGGGCTGAGCGGGTGGCAACCTGCAGGTGACTGGGGGCCCAAAGTCTCTGACAAAGTGAGCAGGTCAAAGGGTAAATGAATGCCTTAACCCTTGCACAGGCTTAAAGTTTGCATCGTGCTCCTTATCATACCTCCGAAATGCATTGGGAGAGAGCTTAAGCGGCAAAATAGATGCCTTTAGCTTGGAGCCTATGGCACTCATTTTAATTCTTGCGCCTCCCTCCCCCCCAAGAGGGTTGAAATAGGCTCTGCCCATTTCTGATCGTGAGCCTCACCCGCTGCAGAGTTCAGAGGCCTGCCTCCTTGCGCTGACCTCACTTGCGCAGCCTGGTAAGGGAAAGACCCATTTAAGCCAGTGAGTCCACGGCGGTTCCTTGGCTCCATTTTCTGGCTCTGCTGGGGAAAGAAACCGGACCATTGAACGTTGTGCATTCCCTCCAGGCTCCCCAGGGCTGGCCACTAGGAGGCAGCAGAGCACCCTTGCTTGTGGGCCACGTTGGCCTGCCAGCCGCATGTCTGGGATGGGTTTGGGGCTTCGTGCCAGCCTGGCCAAGCCAGGGAGGGACAAGGGGGAATCTTGTTTGTCGGGCCTGGAGGTGGCAGGGGGCCAGGTTTGGCTGCCTCTGGAAGGGTCTGGGTGAGAGGGCTCGCTCCAGCCCCAGCAGAGTTTGTCTGTGCACTCAGAGAAAGAGGGTGAAGTCAGGCTGTGGGCTTCTTCAGCTGCAGCTTGGGGCTAAGCTGAGAAGTTCTTCCCATTTCCGGAGGAGGGGCAGGAGACCAGATTCTCGGAGGGGGTGGAGGGAGGCCCTTCTCTGCAAAACACGAGGCCTGCTGGGATGACCCGAAGTGCAGCATTTCAGTGCAGTTTGTTCTGGCTACATTGCATCTCAGCTGTTGCTTAAAAGGAGCTGTCTTGTGATCCGGGATAATCTTAAAACAGTAGCTGACTTGTTTTCATGGAAGTAACCTCCCTCTGGCCTCCCCCCACTCTTCCACCAGGCGTAGCTAAGAGTGCTCATTCTGAGAGGCTGAGACAAACTGCTGCACGTTTCACCCACTGAATCTCTCCCTTCTGGATAAAACCGTTCTGGGGAGTTTTTCCTGTTAGCTGTTTCCTTTTGGGATGACTGGAAAGTTAAGGCGGGTGAGCTGGCCGAGTTTTAGTATTGGCTGGCCCCAGACTCCCACTGGGCTACTGAGGGACTGCAAAGTGCTTGTCTGAGAATGGCTTTGCTAGCCCCTTGCTCTCCAGTTGCTTGGAAATAACGGGAGTTGTAGTCCAACGGCTTAGGAAGGCTTGTGTGCAGACAAACCCTGTAAGCGCTGGCTGCAGCTTTATTAGCATAGTTGCAAAACCACCTTGGCTGGTGCAAAATTTCTCTTCCAGGCTACTTTGGAAGTTTTTGAGTCTCCTGTGCCCATCCAGGAGAGAAGTTTTGCTTAGATGTTCTAAACTTCAGCTCCCATCTGCCTGCAATCAAGGCCTATGATAAGACAGCACAGGAGTTGTGGTTCAAAACATCTGCCTCGTACCATGCTGTGTAGCCTGGGTTACCCCTTTGCAGACACACCGTTGGCAGGCGCTGTGAACCATCCGAAGCCCTGGGCTGCTGACGTTCTGCAAAGGGCATCCCATTGAGAATTCTGATTGCCATCCCGCTGGCGGCCTCTAAGTAGACCAGACAGACTGGGTCTCCGAGGTTAAAAAAAAAATTAAATGTTTATTGCCATTTCAATTCCCCCTCCTTGCCGAGAAAACAGCATACAGAAACTTTTTTTTAAAAGCAACGTACGCACATCCAACAGCGTATCTGGTCACTGACCAAAATCAATATTAGCAAATCCAAAAAATAATCTAGTTTATTAAGTTATCATCCCAAAATAAACCCTCCGAGAATTAACATGCTAAATTGATATGAAGCATGTAAATATATCACTTAAATATTTAAAAATTATACCAGGTTACAGGGAAAAAATCGATTCTTGTAAAATATTACGAAATCTGTGCAAAGGGCCTCATTTTATTCCTAGTAGAAAAGAAAGTAGCTTTTTCAAAAGAGAAAAAAACATTTCTCAAATCTACTCTTTGGTATCCAGAATAGTAGTACTTTTCCAATTTCTTTCTCACAGCTATTTCCCCATGCCTAATATAATCAAAGTTCCTCAAAAATTTTCAGATTCCACTACTTTGGGATATAATTCAAAACAGCATGTGGAACCACGTGGAAGCATTTACCCATACAACTACTTGTATATGTTCCATATTATTCCAAAAAGAAGCCAGCATTGGACAAGATTTTGGTTAACGTTAACCCTTGGGCTGTAGGGGAGCTTTCTCTGATGCGCTTTTCTTATGTGTTGTGTTGGGGTGCTGCAGAGATGCCCAATTTCTTTTGAGCCACGGTGCCCGTTTTGGAAGTTTGAGACCATGTCAGAGTCCTCTCTTCCCACGAAGGGCCTGAGAAATGGGGAGACACCCATTTGCCAGAAAGCAGGTGAGGGTGCTCCCCATGGCCATTCCCTCTCATTCCTTCTTAAGGCTGTTTTCCTCATCTTTCTGGAGAGAGGGGCGTAGTTCTAAACAAAGTACCAAGCTTGATTGTTCTTGATTTTGTGGAGTTCCTGGTGTTTTCTGAGCTAGGTGGTTTGCTTGCTTCAATCTGCTATATATAAACGGGCAGCAAACCCCGCCCTCCCTCGCACTGATGACGTTACCTAGCTCGGTAATGAAACATCTGCGAGCAGAGCACCAAGCACCCTGAGCTACAGATACGCTCCTCTACTGGATTCTTGCTTTTATTCTCCAGAGGTGTTAGTTTGGGGTCAAGCAGGATTTTAGAAATATGGATCGTGCTCAGGATTGGCACTTGGCTTTGCAAGATAGGGGGCCAAGCCTGTTGGTCCCCCCACGCGCCAGGTTAACTTGCTTTTCACATTTCCGCCTGTCACGAATCTTTAATTCTGAAAAGCCAGGGGTAGGAAAAGGCAACAGGAAAAGCCAGGAGTGCCCCCCTCCCCTGCTTTTCCTGTGCTGGAATTGAGTGACACCCTCGTGTTCATTTCCCACCAGTCCCTTCAGCATGGATGAATTCAAGCGGAAATATTCCAACGAAGACACTCTGAAGGTAGCCCTCCCCCACTTTTGGGAACATTTTGACAAAGACGGTTGGTCCATCTGGTACGCAGAATATCGCTTTCCAGAGGAGCTGGCACAGACTTTCATGAGCTGCAACCTTATCACTGGTAATCTCTCCCCCCTTCGCCCCAGTTTTCTCTCATTTTGCTATCAGTTTGGCCCGACCACTAATAAACCGTCTTTGCGCCTTCCCCGCGTTCCCCCCCACCCCCCCGCTCCTGGCAGGCATGTTCCAGCGCTTGGACAAGCTGCGTAAGAACGCCTTTGCTTCCGTCATCCTCTTTGGCACCAACAACGACAGCAGCATCTCGGGCATCTGGGTCTTCCGCGGGCAGGAGCTTGCCTTCCCAGTGAGTCTGAGTTTCTGGAACGGCGCGCGTGGCAGGAGAGTGTGCTAGGGATGAGCCGTGCGAAATAGAAACCGGGAAAGTGCAGCTGAGCACGGCCATTGCCAAAGGAGAAGTGAAAGAGGATCCGGGGGAACCAGGGCGGGCGACCTTTTTGTATCGCAGGCGGGTTCTCT